ACCTCTTGATTTGCTTAATGGATTACAAACTACTTAACATTTTGACTATTTGAACAATGTTACAATCTACTAGTTTTTGTCGTGCATTCAATACAACTTACATCAATTTTTTCTCATCAATTCTTATAGACATATACATATATATATATATATATATATATATATATATATATATATATATATATATATAATGTAAACACTTTACTTTTTACAAATAAAAAAAAGAGAAAATATTTGATACAAAAATATAAACAAAAAGGGAAAAAGGAAAGAGTTTCCTCTGTAGCTACCAACCGTCACTGTAATTTTTTTTTCTATATAACGAGTAAATTGATTCCATGTGTATACAATGGATATGTTGTGAAAGTTAGTTATTCTCTATTTTATAATTGAAAAATATAGTATTTTAGGATTATTGCAAAATGTTCACGCATGTTTTCAACCACACCAGAAATCATGAAAGACAGTTCATGGTGTGTCCAAATATGGTGATTATAGGACAATTCTTGTCCTTAAAAAAGAAAAAGTTCTTCTAAAACTCACATTTAAAAATACTTTGGTCTTAGGCAATATGTTACATGTGTCATCAATTAGAGTTAAAGTTAATTTAATCTCTGTAGCACTCTTAAGAAAAATTGGGATTAAAATGTCATTTGAATCTAATAAGAGTTTTATGACAAAATTAATTTGTTTGTAGAGAAGGGATATTGTGATGAATATCTTTTTGTACTAAACATTATTGAAGTTATTAATGAACCTGAATTTGGATATTCTACTTATATTGTTGACTCGTATGATGTGTCATACTAAATTAGGACATACAGATTTCTCGTATGTTACAAAATTGCAACGACTAAGATTATTTAATATGCATGATAAACAAAGTTAAAAATGTGATATATGTGTGAAATCTAAAATAACTAAGAAAATTTGTCATCATGTAGAATGTCAAATCGAACTTCTAGGGTTAATTCATATTGATATAACTAACCTAAAATAAACTATATTTAGAGGTAGTAAAATTATTTTATAGATGATTACTCTAAATATATACTTGATTAAATATAACAAGTAAGTGTTTGATATGTTTTTAACTTATAGAGTGGAAATAGAAAATCAATTAAATAGGAAAATTAAAAGGATTAGATCATATAGAAATATATGTATTTATAAAGTAACCTTACCATATTTACCCGAGTTTAATGGAGTAGTTGAGAAAAAAACATAAAATTTTTAAAGAAAGGATAAATGTCATACTTATTAATTTTATTGTATCTGATAACCTTTGGAGAGAAGTGCAACATGTTTTATATGAAATAGGATACCAATATAAAATAAGTGATAAAATTTTCTATGAATTATGGAAAAGTTATTTATCTAATATTCCTCCAAATTTTATAATTTATATTAGTATTATTATTTTAAACCTCCAAACTTGGTGATTATTAAATATACTTCCTTATATATTTATAAATTTAACTTCTTCTTTTTTATATTTTATCTTTTTATATTTATTTATTATTTATTAATAATATATTATTTATCATCTTATTAAACATAAATTACCTACCTAAGGAAATCTATATGTCTTAAACAATTAAATTTGATTGGTATTTTCGTGAGCTTATAGAACACGATGTATAATGAACATAAAGAAAGATGCATGAACCGAACATTGACGTAAATAGAGAAGGAAACAGATAAAAGAAAAAAAAAAAAATAGTAAAGAGAAAAAATTTAGAATTGGGTTTGGGACTAAAATGTGTGCGTTTACAATCAGATTGAAGCCCAGAAAACGAGTGTAGAACCCAGAATTACAAAATGCAAAGTTATTTATTGTAATATTACAATATTCCTTGTACGGCTTTAATTCTGTGTACTGCTTTAATCAATGTTTGGATTCTTATAGTGCTTTGATCCAATGCTTTACTGCTGATTCAAAATTCAAAATAAGCAATAAAAAAAATTGGAATTTGTGAAATCTTTACGCTTTTAAAACCTTCTCCTTCATCTCCTCACACTGGCAACTGCTCACACCATACCAAATCAAAACTCATCTATTCTCTTCTTCTCTTCTTCTCTTCTTCTCATTCACTTCCCGCACCAGCCAACCTTCTCCCCACCATTTCCTTTTATTTTATTTTAATACATTAACTATCCAAAACTCATTTATATACTCACTCTGCATTCACTATTCTAAGAGATAATCAAAGCAGAAAAACCAAAGGGACACTGAAAGATGAGTGTGCAACAACAACACTCTCTCACCTTATTACTCCTTTTTCTTCTTCTTTTTTCTTCTCCTGATTCAAGATTCCAATATTCTAGAGTTCTGCACTCATCCCTCACGCGTCCTCACCCATTCCTCTTCCATTTTTCTATTTTGCGTAAACCTAATTTAATAGATATAAATTCTATTTTGGGCCTTTAGGCCCAGTTTTTTCTTTTCTTCTCTTTTGCAAATTAAAAAGTATTGATAATTGAAATTTGGGTTAATACAATTATAACTTTTTATCAATTAAAAAAGCATTGTTAATGACGTAATAATAAAAAAATAAGCAGGTAAATATTTAAATAGTAAATTTGAAGTCATACGATATTTTCCTTTTGAATCGTTAATTTTTATATATTTAAGTTCATTTTGTCTATTTTATTTTGTTAGACTTGTATAATATTAGAAGTAGAAAAATATTCATCTTAATTGTATTTTTAATATTTAATAATAACATATTTTTATTATAATAATAATAGTTACTATTATTATAGATTTACTCTCAATTTAATAATTACTATTAAAAATTTTGTAATCACTTTGAATATATTTTTTAATTTGATTATAACAAAAATAAATAATAAATAAATAAATAAAACAGTATTAAAATTGATAAAAAATGAAATTATTAGAAAAATAATTTTAATAATTAAAAGTAGCATTTCTTTAAATTAAAATCAATTTAAATGTATTTTTAATCTGGTTATCTAAAAATTAATTAAAATTATTTTAGATATAATTCTAATTTGATTACCTACAAAATAATTTTAGTATATTACCAATAATTAAATCAAAATTATAAGGTAAATTAATTTTATTATTTACAAATATTTTTTTTATAAAACAACTACAGTACTCTTTTGATTCTTCATTGTACCTAGGATATATAAAAGTAGAATATAATCATTATCTAGTAAAAAAAATATTTTCTATTATTTTTAATAAAAATATTTAATTTCAAAAAAATATAAATATATAATAAGATATCATTTTAATAAATTTTAAAAGATAAAATAAATAAATTTTAAAATATTTATTTATTTTTATTTAATTAAAGATAATCATTTTAAAACAGATTAAGTAAGATAATAATATTTTTTTAATGTATAATTGATTCTCTAATCCAACTGTCTATTTTTTTTAAATAAATTTTTGATATTTTCCTTAAAATAAATATTGATAAAACTTCATTATTTTTTATTTTAAATTTATATTTTTATCATTTCATAATTTCACATATAATTAAAAAGTTTAGGAAAGTTTTTAGAAATGATTTGTTTCAAACTACATTAAATAAGTGTAATAGATAAAAACATATAATTTAGGAATTTATCATCTACCCTTGTCTCCTTCATTTATTCTATTATTTAAACTGATGTTTTCACTGTGTAACAAAAAATTGGTTTATCCACTCTGTAACAAGAAATTGGGTGGACTGTTGACGACTACAGTGGCTATGGATGACTAGCAGGAGAGTGACTGCAAGTTGAGGAAGATAACAAAATGGGCTTGGAATTTCTTGAGATGAGTAAAGGAGGAAGTGTGTTTTCTTCTTCCTCATTTTTATTTTTTATATTTCTTTATTAGATTTTGGAATACTTATTTTTTTCAATAATAGAAAATGAGATGTTAATAATTATTATTTGTTTTATAACTATAATCATATTAAATTAAAATTTATTTATAATAGTTAAATTTCTAAGTGTTACAAAATTAAAGTGTAAATAAAAAAAATCACAAAAGTGTAAATTTTGTAAGATTTCCCCCATTAGAGCAAAACTTGCAATAATAAGATCTTAAAAATAATATGACATTGCAAAACCTATCTAAAGAAAAATCAAACTTAAAGAAAAATATTGAATTTATCTTCATTATTTTCAGTGATAAATTCAAATACACTTCCATATTTTAATTTTCAGGGGTATGGATTCATAAAGAATAATTCATAATTGTGTTGTAATTTTGATTTTATACGAGTAAGAGTGTCTCATTAGGCGCAATTATTCATCTATATAAAACCCAACGGTGCAACTCATTAAAATATAATGAGTCCTTGAAATTTCTCATTGTTTTTAATTTGATCACACCAAAAATTTGCAAGAAAAAAAGACGAAGAACGGGGAAGAAATAGAAGATGATGGAGGATCAAATAAATAATGAAGATGAAAAAAAGAAAACAATAAAAAATGAAGGGGAAGAAGAAGGAAGAAAATAAGAAAAAAAATATGGATGTTGTAAATAAAAGAACTTCATTCAAATTTGAAGAAAAAGAAGATAAAAAAAGATTTTTGGAAGAAGAAAAAGAGATAAAAAAGAAAGACGACAAAGAATAAAAATGACTTGTTTAAACATAAACCATTAACTTCAAAAATAATATATTAAACCATTACTAATATTATTACAATAAATATAATTAAATAATAATAATATAAAAATATCAATACAATAAATACATATTTATTCTTAATTAATACATAAAAATTACAAAAAAAAAAGAAATAAAATAGGTGACGTCATGGTCTTAGATAAGATAAATGGATAAGAGAATGGTATGACCAAAATAAAAACCCATATTAAAGCTCAACGAATCTTGAGGCGCGAGACAACCACCCCAACAGTGTCTGGTCTCCACAGAGACCGTTGACAACATTGCCAAGGTTGCATCACTCTTCCTTGCATTCTTTTCTTGTCTCACCCGCGGCACCATGCAATTGTGCTAACAACTCTAATGGGTATGGCCACACGTGTCCCCTTTCTCTGCTCTTCCACTTCCCCCAACCACTGCCATAAATATTGCGGGGTTGCACCGTCACTTTCTCTACCCGTTTCCTCTTCCTCATTAAGGCTTCGCTCTCTCTCTCTTTCTTCTTCTTCGTTCGCTTTGTTTTCTCTTGCCAAGAGGAGGAACCAGGAGGGTGTGAAGAGGGTGGCAAGAGGGTTCGGTGTTGTGGCCATGGCGGAGACTGCGAAGAGTACTGTGCTTGTTACTGGAGCTGGTGGTCGCACAGGTTAGGTCTTTCTCGTTTGTGATTTGATGGGTTTCCTCTGAATTCTTGTTTTTTTTTGTCCTGGTATGGATAGAATTTGGATTTTGGACCAGAAATGATGTTCCTGGTTTTGCTTTTTCTTATTTTTGGGTTCTTCTGAAAAATGAAAGATGTGGAGTTTAACGGTCTGTTATATGCTTTCATGATGGGTTTTGTTCAAATTCCCTTTTTTTTTTCTTGCTCTAGAGAGAGGGAGAAAGAACATGGGTTTTGTTGCTTTAGGGTTTATGTTTCCAACTTTTCATTAAGTGAGAAAACGTTTTATGGGCTGTGTTAGTAGGCATTTGTTTGGAGTGTGGCTTTTTGAGATGAACATAGCTATGCATCTATGATTGCTTTTCTATTCATTTTAACCACAAAAGCGCCTTTTTTTTTTACAAAGAAAAAGTTATACATTTCGCGATCTTTTTCTTAATTTGTTTTTAAATTACCAAAATAAATCCTATGCCAATTTAATTACTGAATTAGAACCTCTTATTGTGACCGAATTATGTTTTATGTTTATTTTAATTATTAATGAAATTTTCCTTCCATTTCTTTCTCCTCTATAAATATAACCTGTCTAATTAATAATATTAGTATTCGTCATTAGTAATTTTATATTTTTAAAAAATTCATAATAATATTTATTTTAATATAATATTTTTTATTAATAAAACTTATATATTTGTTATTTTATTACAGAATATTTTTACAAAGTTAAATCTATTATTATTTTACAATATTATTACAATTTCAATGTTATAAATTTAAAATATGTACTAATGATTATAATTAATCATAAATTTAATGATATCATTATATATATATATAAAATTAATTAATGTGTTTCCAAATTGTACTAAAAATATTTAAATTACGAACGTATCATTAAAGTTGTGATTAAAATTACGTAGGAAATTGCGCTTGTATGTAGGAAATATACACAAACTCAGCGCTCAGCCTTCAGCAAGCTGATAGAAGTGTATGATACCGTGCTAAAATCGAATTTTAAAGGTTTTGTCTTCAAAATAGAAGTGGATGACAGTATTTGGATTTGATTTTGATGTACCATTATACAGTCATCTTTTTGGTCAATCACTGCTCAATTTAAGACTACATGGATTTGTTGGGAGTAGCCGAAATAGGATAATAATTGTGGCTCGTATCAATAACTGAGAATTGATGTTACTTTTCAGGACAAATAGTTTACAAAAAATTGAAAGAGAGGCCAAACCAGTATGTGGCTAGAGGTCTGGTTAGAACAGAAGAAAGCAAACAGACCATTGGTGCTGCAGATGACGTTTTTGTTGGGGATATAAGGGATGCTGGAAGTATTGTTCCTGCAATTCAAGGTATACATGCTCTCATAATCCTCACAAGTGCAGTGCCACAGATAAAACCTGGTTTTGATCCAACCAAAGGACAAAGACCAGAATTCTATTTTGAGGATGATGCATATCCTGAACAGGTACTATTACAGTTTCTGTTTCACTCTTAATTATTTTTAAATTTATCTCCTTTTTTATTCATATTTTTAGTGATTTGTACATGCTAGATTGATTGGATTGGGCAGAAAAATCAAATTGACGCTGGTGAGAATCCATGTCTTCTTTCCATTAATCATAGATTATAATGCAAACTTAAACATGCTTACAATATTTGAATTATTTATGTATATATGACCAGCTAAGGCTGCTGGGGTGAAACATATTGTGTTGGTAGGGTCTATGGGTGGAACGGACCTTAACAATCCTTTGAATAGCTTGGGAAATGGAAATATATTGGTTAGTAAGTTTTCTCCTTTACTTGTGAACTACCTCCTTCCATAATATTCTGACCTTGCTTTGATACGATTAGAGTTTGCAAGTCATCTTAATGAAAAATGCAAGTTTGGTAAATGGATAGTATTTTTTACTTCCCCTGTATTGATTGCAGGTCTGGAAAAGGAAGGCTGAGCAATATCTGGCTGATTCTGGAGTTCCATATACAATTATAAGGTACACCGATTCTTGTCCATTAGACATGAATTCCAAGCTAGGTTTCTTCTGTCTATATGTGCCTTTTAGTTGGAATAATGTGTTAGTATTACCGTGGAATTGTATTATAAACAAAATGTTAATACTTTTAGTCCTCATAACCTAAACTGCACCAGAAACACTTTCAATCAACACTATTATGATATCTTGATACCTGGTTGTCTTGGCTGAACACTTCTAGAATTTTTGGTGTTAGTTTTTCTGAGAAAAAAAAGTAAATATTGATATGCTTAATTGTAAAAATCAATGTTACGAAATTATTTTTTCCTTTAAGTGTTCAATTTGTGCCTTGCATTTTCTTTTTTAAGAACATTCTAAATAACAAATGATAGAAATATATTCTTCCATTCTACAGTATATATTACTTAGAATTAGATTTTTGTATAACAAGAGGTACACATTTGATGTCTGAAAAAAAAAGTTAAAAGTTCGGAAGGACAAGATAACAACAGAACTCAATGATTCTTAGGAATCCGCCTAAGATTTATGGAGTCAAGGTAGAGGACTCAATTTGCAAGATGAACTTGTAATAAACCTAAATTGGCAGCTTACAACCATCACCAAGACTATTTAGGGGTGTTCAAAACCGAACCAATTAAAAAATAAAACCGAAAACTGATCAAAACCGAATATTTTTGAACTTTATGGATTGAAATTTTTTAAAATCAATCTGTTCGGTTCGGCATAACAGTCAGGAACTGACCCAGACCGAAATTATAACATTTATTGCTGAAATTAAAACATAAGATAGCTCTTTATGTGAGTGAGTCAATTAGTTTCTTATCATTTAAGACATGCAGCTCTAGAATTTTCGACCATTCTCCCTTGCATGAAAAAGCTGAGGTCTTATTTTCTTCTTTATATGAAGAGAAGTCTGAGACATTGAACTGTACAAGGGCTATTTATCAGCTCTTGGCGAGAGCTGCCTAAACCAGCCTTTTGGAAGTTGTTCTTGTCGAAGATGAATATATAAACAAAATCCCCATGTTTGAACTTGGCTTCCCAAATCTATCAGCTTCTTTATAATTTTTATTTTGTTGAAAAATATTGACTTTAAACCTTCTGGTGTAGGCATTGAATTTCTTTCCCTCTCTTTTCAGTATCTCTTCGTAAGAGGTGGTTAGTTGGAATAGATGCCAAGTCTAACTGGCTAAACGATTAGTGTAGGCCTGTATCTGCCCTCAAATAGACTTTTAATCAATTTCTTGCTTTGAGATCAATTGCAGGAAATTCTTCTTGTGGAAATTGAAGCCCCATTGTCAACATTCCACTCACTAGTGATCTTGATAAATTACCCACGCTTCCAGTGTCAACTTTTGTTTGTATGTGAGTTTGTGGCTGTGGGAGGAACTGAATTGTAGTTTCTTCCAGAGTTTGCTAAAAATAAATCATAAATTTCACAGCTTACTTGAATTTTTGTTGCTTTGAACTTTTGGCTATCCTACGATGAAATCAATATTAGCATTTTCCCATGGTGCAAAAGGAACTAGACGTGGGTATGAAGTATAAACTTGTATTTTGAACATGACCATTTGCGATGTAATGAGTAAGACATCACTTTGTGTGCCTAGTAACAGCAAAAACCATGTTAGGCCATAGAATTTTTCTTGAATAACAGAAACAGCCTTGTTCTTCCCAAAGTACTCATAAGAGCTTCATTGTGTGCTGCTTTCATTATTACTTCACATGATTAACATTGGGTACAAACAATCCATTATTCTTGAGAAGGAACTCATTTTGTAAAGGGAAATCCTTAGAAGTTCTTTTAGAGCATTCACTCCAAATCTCATATAAACATAGGCCATCCTCGTAGAGCTCCTTCAGGACTTTGTTGGATATCCCACTTTGACTGACTAATGATAAGGTTAAAGTAGTGTATACAAGTGGGTTATGTTAGGTCCAAACTCAAATTTTAAGATAGTATTATAACTTATCTTTGTGATTTATTGGGCCACTCATTATCATTATCAAACCACCTATAGATATTCAGTCTAGCAAATTTTGTGCTTTAGTTGTCCTGTCTTCAACAACATAAAGGAGTGTTGGAGATTTTATGTCGACTAATAATAATAGGGCAAAAGTAGTTTATATTAGTGTGGGGAGATTTTTTCTTTAGTAAACTGTTTTTCTAAAAGAAATTCCTCAAATAAACTTGAGTGAGAAATATTTACACGACTAGACTGGATTTTCAGTCCTTAAAGAGCTGAATTCTGTGATGTGTTGTGATGGTCCGAGGCTGGAATTAGGTTCCAATTCTTCACAACAAATTATGCAAAAAAAATTTGTTGTTTGTGACATTAATTTTGATTTTAAATGTTTCATAGTATTTGAAATGACTGAACCCAGAGTCAATTACAACAATTACTATTGTTACATAATAAGGGCCGTAAATGCAGAAGCATCACAATACCTGGATGAGATGAAAATATTAAGATGGTTGAAATAATAAGATGAACATCTTTTGATATTAGTTTTTGATGAGCAACTACTCCTGCATTATACTCACTAAATATGATTCCTATCCATAATATGTCAAAGCTTCAAATGAGACTACCTTATCCCAAGTGCAGGAACAATGTAACTAGAAAATGATTCAAAATTTGACTGTCTTGTGCTTGGCAACCTAAATGTAATCATTTCTGGTTTTGTCCATACTGCTTTTGATTAGACTGTTAATTATCTTCAATATCATTTTGATATCTAGAGGGAAGTTGTTTTCACTATTCACCTTTCTCATGAGAGCATTAGTTAGTATAAACATGCTGAGTTTTTTCTTCTCTTTTTCTATTTTTAACTTTCTTATCTTTTCTCACTTTCTGTACTGAGTCAGGGCTGGTGGCTTGCAAGACAAAGAGGGAGGGCTACGGGAACTACTTGTAGGGAGGGATGACGAACTTCTCAAGACTGAAACCAGAACCATAAGTAGAGCTGATGTTGCTGAAGTCTGCATTCAGGTATCATATTTATATCATTTACTTTGCATGGAAACAAATGTCATCCCACTACCCAACTCCAAAAATAAAATATCCTGCCATTCTTTAATTACTTCGCAACTCTCAAATTTGATGCTCCTTCATTCAATTGGTTTAACAGGCACTAAATTATGAGGAGGCCAAATTTAAGGCATTTGACTTGGCATCAAAACCTGAGGGAGCAGGTTCACCAACAAAGGACTTTAAGGCTTTATTTTCCCAGATCACTACTCGTTTTTAATTTTGAATGTTGTTATCATGATCCATAGTTCCTTCTTGTCTGCATTTGGGATTGAGCCAAAGCATATTTACCTTATGTCTTGGCAATTTAGTAAACAATTGTTTTAATGCAAATTATAGACTTTAGAAGTTCTGCAGGCCTTGAGAAAAAAATGTCTACTGATCAGCGGATCATGTCACTTTCATTTTATCATGTGTAATTGTCTGCAATTCCTTCCCAGTATATTGTTGAGTGTTTCAATTGCGTGATATGAGATGTAAAAGTAGTCTTTAATGCAGATAAAACTTTGTTTGTATGTGGAGACTTCTGATGTTACTGGTTTGCAACACTGATGAACTTCCTATCAATTACAGTCTTGATAATTATTATTATTATTATTATTATTAGATTTAAAGTTTTAATCACTACACGAGTATAAGCTTTTTCTAAATTCGGTCACCAAAACTTGCATGATGCATATAAATTTGGTTTTGATACCTGGTGAGAACATTAGAGTAAAAATTTATGGTTCAAATAGTGAATTCGATCTCTGAATGCTGAGGTGATGTAAAAAAGCATACACCAACCAATTATGTTATTGTAATATTATGATGTCACAACTTGGAAAATGATTACAAGATTAAGGTTAGCATGATCTGCTGGCAAAAAATTAATTTCTAAATATGCATATAATCATGGAAGCCAATATAATTGGCAGGATAGGACAACTGATTCTATGTGAAAAAATTTGTGTCAACTAACTTTTCTCCACAAAACCTTAACATTAAGTCTCAATTCAATCTTTTTCAATTAAATTTTAGACTTCAACTTAAAAAACATGTCTATCCCCTTCCAAAGATTTTTCAAGACGAGGATTAATAAAACTAATTATTACTAAGATAATAGCAATATGATTTCCATGTTGAAAACACATCAATAAGAGAATGACAAGTGTTAAAATCTAACTTGCATTATCTCAAATAAAAAGTTAGACTTCCAAAAAAGCAATTTTAAGTTTTTCAGTGAATAAAGTTGATTTTAGTGGGGCATATACTAAAATTCAGCAATTACAATTCAAAATTGATTTTACTTTACAATATAAATAAAATTTATTCTTCTAAATATTTTTTAACCTTAATTTTTCAAAATTGATTGACTATGAAATTGATTAACCAAACACCTAAACAAAAATAAAATGAAAGAACTGTAGGATGTCTCATTATTGGAAGGAGATAGTGCTATAAATAGGACATCCCAATCAAAAAAGTAATTGAAACCTAAGAAAATTCATTTGCAAAATTGTTGTTTGACGCACTATAGTATGTGAAGTCAAGTCTTCAATCAAGCATGTTTATGTTCCATCAAGACATATTTTAGTAAGTTTAACTCGTGAATAAAAAATAAATTAAGCATTTTTAACATTTTTTTTACAATATCATTACTTAACAATCTTAACGAGAACCTTTTAAGTAGTTTTCTTTAAAAAAAAAAACACTATAATTTCATTATATATATATATATATATATATAAAATAAAAATATAATTGTAAAGAAATGTTTGAAAAAAATTATAGAAAAAAAAATCCAATTTGTCATGAGAAATCCTATTGTCAACTCAACTATTTAAAATTTGATATATGAATTTTATATAAAATACTTGTATTCATGCATTAACACTCTTTTCTATCTCAATTTCATCTCTTTTTTTATTTTTTATCTACATTTTTCATGACATCTATCACACACACTCTCTCAAAATGTCTTTTTTTCTCTTTCTTATGTTCTCTTATTGCACCCCAATCCAGCGAAAATGAAACGAACGTCTATAATTTTCCTTATGAGAACCTTCCCAAAGACAAAAAGGATAAAGTTCAATTCCTCGTGTGAATCTTTAAAAGCTGCATTTAAAACTGGAGGTCCACCACTATATAATGTTCTATGGCATTAGGGTATACATGCTTTAACAATCGGATTTCTTTTAGTCCACTATAATTATTTAAAGTAAAACATTTTACATTATGTTTCAAACGTTCAAACACTTATTATGACACGACAACACATGGTGGAACACTGTAGTTTAGACAGTTATAAAACTAATCCCTTAACAAATTGTGAAAGCATAATGTATAAAATAGAATTTCCTCTGATGCACTTTCAATAGCTACAAGTAACAAGCAATGAGCTAGTGGTGAAGGCTTTCAATAGCTTCTTAGGAACATGTTCAAATCATCGTGCGACCACTGTTCCACAGATCAACTTTTATCAGCTAATCCACCAAAAGGGAATGCCAAATGGTGAGTTGTGAATGTTGAATGGTGACCAACTATAGATTTGATTACAGGTCCAAATAAGACGTAAATGTACACATATTTGGCTCCTCAAATTAAATCATACATTGAGAAAATATTTCTCCTGTAATAATTCAAGGAAAATCTGTACCAATAACTGGATTCAAATTTCTAAATAGAGGAGGTAACTACCACCAATAACAGGAAAATCTGTCGAAACAAGTATTCATAAGAAAATGTGAAGAGATCTACTATTTGCACATCACTCCCAAACTTGAACCAATTGCAGTATGTAGGCTACGTGGACCTAGTCAAACTTTTGCTTTTGGTACAGCTCGAATAGCAACACGCCACTGATGTGCAACAAGTATTATCCCATAGTAAATATTCCATTAATTGTTGGGAGAAAATACAAGGCTATTATCTTCAGTAAACTACCAGAAATATAGTAAGTAGAAAGCTCACAAATGAGTAACAGCAATAATTGGTCTTATTACATGCTAAACTCATCTGCTACATTAGATTGGATCATGATCACATGACACGCCTCACGTTAGCTATCATAAAACAGACTTTATAAATGATCTATAGAGAATAACATGGATTATCTACTTTCATACCAGGCTATTTCAGTAACCATGTTTTCCCCAACTGAACTCACAGATTGAACCCTTCCTTTTTACCTTGAACCCTACATATTGGACACGCCCTGACAATTACCAGATTAAAGTTAGTTCATGATGTATCAAACAACAATGACATAAACCATAACTTTTGAACAGAACTGAGAAGGGGGAGGGGTAATAGAAGTACCTGAGCTCCTCAAGAGTCAAACTAATTTGCAAAGTCCTTGTGACATGCACATGTACTATCATGGTTAGTCATGCTGGTTTCCAACAAGAAAGGGCATAAATAATTCTCCCCTTCCAACCCTGCAACAACCACTGGTTATCTTCATCAATAACAAAATCCTTGTGGTAGCTAGCCGATACTTTTTCTATTGCCCTCTTTACTAAAGCATGTTCAAAAGATTGTTGCGAAAATCCAGCCCTAAGAATCCGGGCTTGCCACTGCTTATATGTCTCTGGCCTCTCTACTCTCTCACAGCCCTCACAAGCTATGACATTCAATGCTTCCCTGCCAAATATCTCTTTCTCAATTAGCATCCTCTCCCAGTCCTCTTGAGGCACAATAGTTTCAAGCATGTCAAAAAGTGAAGAGTAGTGAAACAGTGCCTCCCTGAACCGAGTAACGAAGAAAGGCGCATTAAAGGCCCCGTTAGTAATGCCATGAATGAATAAATCCGGGTTGATCTTCCTTATCAAACTGAGAAATTTGTTCCTTGGACTGTCCGCGACCACAGATTCATCAAGCACATTTTTACCACGATAAACACACGTAACAACAAGGTACTCATCCCTATCAATCTTTAGTTCCTCAAGCTGAACTGTTTCCCATTTTTTTGCTATTGCATTATACTCAAATGGCACCTTAAAGGATTCAGCATATGCTGCCAAGCGGCGTCCAGTTTCTAGAATTCTCTCAGCAGGCCTGAAACCAGGTTGTGGAAAGTCTATTCCTGTAATTCGAAGTTTAGCTGGTCCTCCAACTGCCAATGAAAGTCTCTGAATAAAAGTAGGCCACTGGAAACCATAAAGGATACCAAAATCTATAACATGAACCCTTGCTGAGTTTGCTGAAGATTTCCTTATTGTGACATTAGATATAAAACTAGACATCTTCCTAAAAGGGCAAGCAGCAAGATACAAATGATAAGCCTTCAGAAAATCAGCAGCTGATGTTCTTTTACTAACAAGTCCTTTATAAATTTGGCTACCAGTACCAGCCAAGCGCGCTTCAAGGCCATCAGCAAAGATATGAGCCAACCTCTGATTTCCATCCCCAAAAGGGTTTGAGTGCTTCCTGATTCGCTTTATAAACTCATTTGCACCATTATAGTCATCTGCAGCAACAGCTTGTGCACAAAGAACCAAAAGTGTTCTCAAATCAACCACTTCCTTTTTCCCACTTTGTTTCTTGCTACGTCCCTTACCAGTGTTGGAAGCCTTTGATTTACCATTTGACAGCGCTATCCTATCATTCTTGGTTTGCAAAGCCTCACGACGGGCCATAAAAAGCTTCCTACCATCCCCTAAACTATGAAGCAGAATTATATCAATAGTAGATGATGGCAATGTAGGTTCGGAGAAAATTGCAGCTTGCTTGCTGCATCTATTTTCTTCAACATCCCCTTCTTCCATGAGGTGATGTTTCCTTCCTGTGGTTCCAGCAAGAAAAGACTCCCTTACATCCTTCTCCACCTTAATTGGCAATTCATCCCTCCCCATTTTAGGCTCTAGTTTTGAAGAATTAGCCACCCCCATATTAGCAAAGAGCTCATTTCCACTTGGAAGAAACTTTCTAGCTTCCTCAACACCCTTCTGAAATTGCAAAATGGATTGACTCTCACTGTTCAGATCAGGAACCTGGAGAATACTGCTTGGAGAGTCCACAAGTCCTTCCACACTACTTATCACACTATTTGAAGAGCTATAAGATGATTGTGAATTGCTATTGACTTGTAAATTCTGGTTAGGATGTTCTCTCAAATTTTGACGCAAATTAGTAAAAATGCTACTGAGATCACCATCATTGTAAGACAAAGTACCATAATTTTCAGAGAAAATATGATCCCCCACTCGACCATCTGGATCAACAGGATTTGGATTTCCTAAAGGCGAAGAAGGATACTTTTCACCTATCACCTCATAGAATGATCGCTCAGCAATTTGAAGATCCAAAGAATCATGCAGCATGCATGTCTTATCTTCCATGTCTTCCTCCATAAGGATCTGACTGATGTAACTCAAAATTGCATCAGAAAATTCACAATCCTCCGGAGAAGGTTCTTCATGAGTCAAAACCGAGGATGAAGAAGGCATGTCAGTTGGTACTAGATTGGATTGAAGGTAACCAAATTCCCTACTTTGATCAAAGAATCCATTTTCAAATCTCTGATTTCCTAACCAGACTTCATTAGGGGGACCACTAATCCCACAAAGACGTGGATCCATTATCACCAATCTTTGCATAAAAACTCAAACTTTAGTCCTCAAACAACCCTTCTTCTCATCTCTTCTTAAAGTCCTTCAGAAACCAAAACAGAAGCATCAAAACTCAAACCGTTAAACCAAATCCTCTGAACACGTGTCATGACTTGTGTTAGACTATGCACAAAGAACAAGGAGTAAAACAGAAGGGAGAAACAGATAGAGTTCACCAAAACCATCAAATAAGGAAGAAAAAAACAAAACATGAAAAAAAGTCACCACACAGTTGACTAGACCAAGAAGATGCGCTTCAAACACGAGGCTCGATAATTGGAAGAAAATCACATAAACACAAAGGAAGAAACGAAAAAGAGAATAATTCAATGAGAAGTCAAGTCATGTACAAATGGCGAAGTTTGAGCGGCAACAAAAGGCAGAAAAATAGAGAAGTTACGACTCAGAAGAGAGACAAAGTTGTTTACCCCTTTGGAGACCCACCAGAACACTAGTTCCGAGAGAAAGCATAAGAGGGAGAAAAAGAGAGAGAAGAAAAGAGAGCGCGAAAAGGTGATGTTGAGGAAGAATATATTAGAGAAATTATTGTATGGATGGATGGGGTTCATAACATGTGTCTCCATTAATTTTCAATAAATATATTAACTTAATCAATAATCTCTTACAAATTTTAAATATATTATTGCTTTTAAATATTGAAAAAAAAAGTTATCTTAAACAATAAATAAATAAATACATATGCTTCGAAAAAATATATTGATTTATGAATATTTAAGCAATATGAACACTTAACTAATAATTTTCATTCTTTTTCTTTACTCGTTCTTTTATCATACTAATATTATTATGTTATGATTTGATTCAATTATTGAATTTTTTCTCTCAATAACCATAAACAAAATTGATTATTGTTCTAAACCTTACCACACATATATTTCTCGTACATCACTAATTATATTAAGTTCCTATGTCTTCATTTTTTTCCAATCTTTCTTAGTATTGTTTAAGAAAAATAAAATGAAAAAGAGAGAAATAAATGAATAAGATATAAGTGTGTTTAGGTAAAAGAAAATAAAAGCGAAGAGGAGTAAAAAATATGGGACTCATTATTTATTTTACATTTTTTTATTTCTATTTATTTGTACTCTATTTTCATTTAATTATACTAAGAAACATGAATATATAATAGACAAGGGGAGAAGCTACCTTAATCAATTATGGGGCAACATAAAGACTAGCATGGCAGCACATTTCCACACAAATCATCTCTTCTGTACTTAGATTTTATTTCATTTTTTAAAATCTCACTTATATAGTTTAAAAATTCCCCACCTTTATTTTACTCTTATCTATTTCATCTTAACCTAGTTTTCTTTATAAAAGAATATAGAAAGAAAGGGAGGGAGAGAGAGAGAGAGAGAGAGAGAGAGAGAGAAAATGTGGTGGGGGAGGGAAAAGTTGAGAAGCAATGATAGCCGTGGATTGTGGTGATCGAAGGGAAAATGGAGAAAAGTGAAATATGATGTTGGGGAAGTATAATAAGGTTGAAGGCCTATGAGAGAGAGCCACGTATAGAGAAACCTATGGGAACTTCGATGTTCTTGTCTCTCACCTTCACCAATTTTTTATTCGCTATTATTATTTTTTTCCCTTCATTACTGTACTACAATTTTCATCTTCTCACTTTTCATGCTTTTGGATAATAAATAATAAGTACAAAGTGTGCTCTACTATGCACCAACTAATATTCTGCTCAAACTTATTCCAAATCATTGTTATTTTTTAATTTAAATCTATAAAATTTAAATATTTCATTTATTTTTAGGACATAGTCATTCATTTTAAAATAATGTAGAAAACCATCAGCTTTTGAAAGAAAAATAATAATTAGTATAAAATTATTCTAACTCAACCAATAATCTCAAATTCAAATCTTGAATATATTAAAAAAAATAATAAGAATAATCTAACATAATTGTCTTATATCCTACCAAAACAGACAATTTTATAAATTCCGAAGGCCTAAATTATGGGGTTTTCGATTCAACTAGGTAGACCAAATTTAAATAATTATTTTTAATACGCAAGAAGTTAAAGTTTTTAGGTAAAGGGTATATTATAGTTAATGGAAAGTAAGGTTTTGCATAAAGAGTAAATATCTTAATTCATAGAAAGCATGACCTAATTAAAGATGGAATCAACCTTTGACATTATCATGTTAGTTTTATTTATTTATTTATTCAACGTTACAATATAATATTTTGCTTATTAGTCTTTTTGTCCCCCACTAATTATTAACCTTAGGGTTGAGTTTTAATATTTACATATATAGATTCGTTGCAGAAACAAGTGTCTTTTAATTAATCAACTTCTTTTACTAAATGTCCACAAATCCTTAATAAGAGATCAAAATAATCCCAAGAACTTGCTTACTAATGGCAACACTTATAAGTTGTTAAAACAATTTCCTTAACGGTAAATTTCATGTTTAGTTTGAAAACTAAATTATCATAATATTATAAGTGGGACGAAAATAATCGTTGACCAAAAGATCGAAACTATAAGAAAACAAAAATAAAAAAAGTTATGAAATTACATATTACATAAAAATAAAAATATAATATAGTCTTTTTGAATATATTTTAATTTTATATATTGATGACAAATTATATAAAAAAAATTAAATTTTATTATTTAGTATGTGTTAAGCATTTTTGAAAGAATTAACAATAGAAAGATTCTTATAGATAGAATGTGTGTCAATCGTATACGAGAATATAACGTTATTTTTAATAAAAAAATCTTAAAATATTAGATTATGAGTTTTTCTTACTTATAAGTTACTCAATTTTCCTATTTTTACTCAATGTGGAAATTTAACTCACACTTTAATTCTCAACAAGATTCCTTAGTATGATTCCCTTTCATGTTAGTATCAATTTTTCCCTTGAGTGGTAACATTTTTTTTTTAACCATGAGTACCTTGTAGGGACTTACTTGCCTGAAATCCTTATCAGAAAGCTTTTCGACACAAAGACCTTTCACCTAGTCATACTCAATTGATTTGGTCACTTGTAAGGACTTATTTACCTGGAATCTTTGTCAGAAAGATTTTCAACAGAAAGACCTTTCACCTACCCATACTCGAATGAGTTGGTCATCAAATGAACCTTACTTGTAGGGACCCGTTTGCTTAAAACTCTTATCAAGAAGATTTTCGACACAAAGACCTTTATTTCACCTACTCATACTTAAGTGAGCTGGTCACTGGACAAGTCATTAGCTTCGATATTACTGGTTATGTATTTTCGAAAGGTTATAATAATAGAAAGATTCTCACAAATAGGACATGAATCAATCATATAAGAGAATATAACACAACTTTTAACCAAAAATCTTAAAGTATTAAATTGTGGTGGACCTTAATCATTAATTTTGAGAGAACCAAATAATATATTATTAATAAATAATAAATAAATATAAAAAAGATACAAGAATAATAAAATTATAATATATAAGTAAATAATAATTGAATTTAATAAGTCAAATTTATAAATTATATTAGAATTATAAAATTTAAAAATATATAAATAAATATATTAAATAATTAAAAGGAATTCTCATACTAGTTACAAACCGTATGTGAATAAATTTTAGATTATTAAGTCATTCTCTTACCTTAATTTTTCGAATTAATGCGTGTCATGGGACCACAAACAAAAACTATGGTTCCACATGTGCAAGGAACGTGGATTCGAATTTAAAACGCATTAACTTTAATCAAGATAATATATATTATAAATGAATATATAATAGAAAAATATTTAGTCATGATAAAAGAGTTAATTTTTAGTATAAAAATTTCAATGATTTTTTATAGAGGACTTCTAAATTCTATTTGATATCATATGTTCCATATAAGTATATTAAAATTAACATAGTGTAAAATAAAATATTTCATTTATAGTAAAAATATATATTTCAAATTAACTAATAATAATAATAAAACAAATATGTGTATTTGTAACGGTACATACTTTATAAACCTTACTTTTTATTTTTTAAAATAAAAATAAATATTTTCTAGTTATTTAAATTATGAAAGATATTTCAACTTTATATCTTACATTTGTTGTTGAGTTTCGCAAAGAGAAGAGTTTGAGAATACAGAATGAACGAAAAATATAACACACAAAAATGCACTAACAGTAACTTCTATTATTAGGTGATGTGTATTGGTATTTATACTGCATACCAAATCAAACTAATATAACAAAAAAAAGGAATAGAACTGTTAAACTCAGTTTTGAATCACATATACTAACATTCTCCTTGATTCAAAACAAATTCAAACATATTATTCAAAATACACTACATTTAACGTCATCCTCAAGTACTTAAATCTTTCAATCTTTAATAACTTGGTCATGATGTCAGCCAATTGATTTTCGGTCTTGTAATGCTATAACGGAATTACCTCCTTGCTTACTTGATCTCTCAAAAAATGATACTTTGTCTCTACGTGTTTACTCCTGCCATGAGACATTGAATTTTTGCACAGATCTATAGCAGACTTGCTATCTATCAACCATTAATACAACAAAATGTAAATCACGAACCTTCAACTCAGTGGGAAGAGAAAGCAGTCATGAGGCTTGACATGCTACAGAGCAAGCTGATATATATTTAGCTTCACAACTTGTTAAACAACCACTGTCTGTTTCCTTGAATTTCAGTTGATTGTTGCGTCATTCAACATAAACACTTGGCCCATAGTACTTTTCCTGTCAACTTGATCACCACTCCAGTCAGAATCTGAGTATGCAACAAGCCTTATATCACCATTTTCACTCTTCAGTTTGTCAGTAAACAACAACCCATACTCCACAGTTTTTTTTAGATACCTCAATATTCATTTTGTCGCAAGCATATGAGACTACTTTGGTCTGCTCATGAACTTGTTCACTAGACCAACACTAAATGCTATCTCAGGTATACTTTGGCACATA